TAAATATAAATATAAATATAAATATAAATATAAATATAAATATAAATATAAATATAAATAAATAAATAAATAAATAAATTAGTTGCTGTTTTTATTTATATGCAACTTCTCCTGTTATTCTCTTAGGGGAGACTTGAGAGGCGGGGGGGCCTCAAGCTAAACCCTAAACCCTAAACCCTAAACCCTCAGGGGAGACGATAGCGCTCTACTGCAGACACCGCAGGTAGGACACCGAACTCCCCGAGGGACCAGCAAAACCATAAACCCTAAACCCTAAACCCTAAACCCTTGCATAGCATAGGGTATAATAAAACGAAGCCCTCCTTGTGGGCTTCCGCTATGCCACAGAATTAGGGTTTAGGGTTTAGGGTTTAGGGTTTGCAGTGGGTGGGTGGCGGCTTCGCACCTGTGGGCTTCAAGCCCATAAACAAGCCGCCTAAACCCTAAACCCTAAACCCTAAACCCTAAACCCTAGACAGGAGGCAAGAATTGAGAATTCTGCGTGTTGTTGAGGGTTTGAGGGGGGGAGACCATCACTGCATGCGGAGGAGCAACCGCTGTACCCCGCAGACGCTCACTGCAGCAGCAGCAGCAGCAACAGGTCCAACAGCAGCAACAGCAGCAGCAGCAGAAACCTTAAAACAATAAATGCATAAGAAGGAAGAACAGCAGCGACAGCAGCAAATACAACTGGCAAAGCAGCAGCAGCAGCAGCAGCAGCAACACCAGCAGAAGGACAGAAAGAACCAGCCTGCATCACCAACAGTTCAATCCTGCCTAAACCCTAAACCCTAAACCCTAAACCCTAAACCCTGACATGATTTGTTTGCGTCTTTCTTGGGTAATATGCGACGAATTAGAAAGAAGCATCCTGTTGCTTAACCTCTCAGTAGACAGTCTGAGACACAAACCCTCACAAACCCTAAACCCTAAACCCTAAACCCTAAATAAAAGAAGAAACAACAAGCGCAACAGCAGCAGCAGCAGCAGCAGATCAGCAGCAGTAGCATCAGCAGCATGCAGATTGACTATTATATTTTCTCCTTGATAGCGGTAATCACATGCCTAGGGTTTAGCGTTTAGGGTTTAGGGTTTAGGGTTTAGGGTTTAGGTTGTTTTAGGTTTCAAGTTTAGGGCTTTTAGGATGTTTAGGGTTTAGGGTTTAGGGTTTACCGTCCTCTGGATGCGAGTGCAATACTTTTACTTTCTTGTAATAGATCAATCTCTTTCTTTCCTGTCTCTGGTAAATGACGGTAAGGAACAAAAAGAAGAAAAATACCCATTAATATTGATCCAATAAAACATAAGAAACATATTCCCCATTGGCTTAATGTTATACCCTGCAGAAAAAAAAAAATACTTTTTTATACATATAATTAGGGTTTAGGGTTTAGGGTTTAGGGTTTAGGGTGGTTTAGGGTTTAGGGTTTATTGTTTAGGGTTTCAGGGTTTATGTTAAGGGAAGTATTTTTTATATTTTTTGTTATATTATTTTTTTTAAGGTAAACCCTAAACCCTAAAAACCCTAAACCCTAAACCCTAAACCCTAAATTAGGGTTTATTACTTACCCCAAATGTACAAGACATAGGTAGACCACCAAATTCAACAGCAAAAACTTGAAAAATAAAAATAAAAATAACAATTGATAAAAACATTTTAGATCCAAATAAACCCTTAAATATACTTAATGATGGACCAGATCGACGAACATTAAACATATTTCCTAACTGTATACACACACAAACCCTAAACCCTAAACCCTAAACCCTAAACCCTAATGGAAACCCTAAACCCTAAATTTTCAACTTTCAAGGTAATATAGTAGATAAAAAATAATGTGGATAATATATCTAGTTGTGGCAAATGGTGTGCTACTGCTGCTGCTGCTGCTGCTGCTGCTGTTGCTGCTGTTGCTGCTGCTGCTTACCTGCATAAAGACGAATGCATTAAATACAAGTGTATAATGTCTACTAGGACCAATGGTCACTTTCCATGCTGCCTTATAATCTTCTGTAGATGTAAAAGGAAAGAAACGTCTTCCTGATCTTAATATATGAGGAGATTCACTCGTACAATCTGCAATCATAAACCCTAAACCCTAAACCCTAAACCCTAAACCCTTATATACATCATGTCAAATGGGTAACATAATTTCCTGCTGGTTTGGAAAGTTTTGTGTTATATTTTTTCATTTTTTCAAAAATTAGGGTTTAGGGTTTAGGGTTTAGGGTTTAGGGTTTAGGGTTTGGTAATACCGCTAAATTCGCAGAAATCAGGAAACATATTTCTTGTATCTTGGGATAAATGTTCCCATTTAAGTTCAGGTATAAATTTATCCCCAGCAAAAATAAGTACAAATAAGACAGCTAATTGATATATTGCTTGTCCTAGTATATTACGACACATCTTCTGCAACACCATAAACCCTAAACCCTAAACCCTAAACCCTATGACATTGGAATAAAAGGTAAGTTGTACACCACACATATAAGGCAAATACAGCACTCATTCGCTGGCACAGAATGAGTCACACACAGCAACTAAGGAGGTGTTAGGGTTTAGGGTTTACTAGGGTTTAGGGTTTACTAGGGTTTAGGGTTTAGGGTTTAGGGTTTAGGTACCTTGGTAACAAGATATTCATTTTTAGAGATAGGTTTCCTTTTTAATAAAGTATCTGATGGTGGTTCTGTTGCTAAGGCAAGAGAGGCAAGACAATCCATGATTAAATTTATCCATAACATTTGTACTGCTGTTAATGGACTCTCTCGTAGTGTTGCAGCTGTATACACATAAACCCTAAACCCTAAACCCTAAACCCTAAACCCTAAAATATTCAACAAATACATTAAACCCTAATATGATAACAATTTACAGTACAACATTGTAAACTAAATATACGGTGTGTATACATTAATTAAACACCATATAATATAAACCATATAAACCCTAAACCCTAAACCCTAAACCCTAAACCCTAGACCATATCTTACCGCAAACAAAAGAAGAAATAACAGCAACAACATTAACAGTTAATTGGAATTCTAAGAACTTTTGTATATTTGCGTAGATACTTCTTCCCCATTTAACAGCAGACACAATACTCTCAAAGTTATCATCTAATAATACTATATCTGCTGCTTGTTTTGCTACTTCTTTTCCTGAAAAAAAAAAAAAATTTAAACCCTAAACCCTAAACCCTAAACCCTAAACCCTAAAAAAGGGTTTAGTGAAGTTTTTTTCAGTTTGAACAGGCGTTTACGTTTGAGACTCTCTCTGTCTATTAAGGATGATTTAAGGGTTTAGGGTTCTTTTTTTGAGGGTTTAGAATTTTTTAGGGTTTAGGGTTTAGGGTTTAGGGTTTAGGAACCTGTAATTCCCATAGCAAATCCAACATCAGCAGTCTTAAGTGCAGGAGAATCATTTGCTCCATCTCCTGTTACCGCGACTACAGACCCTAACTGCTGCAACCCCACAACAAGAGCGAATTTATCCATTGGTTGCGATCTTGCAAGTACTTCCAGCCTAAGCGCCAAACCCTAAACCCTAAACCCTAAACCCTAAACCCTAAATTAGGGTTTTTTTTTTCCAAAAAAAATTCAACCACATAAACACTTCTACACACTGATACATCATACAACACACACAAACCCTAAACCCTAAACCCTAAGCCCTAAATCTTTCTTTATCTATAACATGAAAAAAAACGCCCTAAACCCTAAACCCTAAACCCTAAACCCTAAACCCTAAACCCTCATAATTGAATTACCTTGGTGCAATTTTCTTGAATGCTTCAATATCTTTAATAATATCTTTCCTAATTCTTTTTCCTTCTTTTCTTTCTTTTGTATTCCCCGTTGTACAATCACAAACCCTAGTTAGACAAACACTACATACTACTCCCCCTACTATACGCGTAAATTCTGCACCCGTCATGGCTAAACCGTCTGAATACACACACAAACCCTAAACCCTAAACCCTAAACCCTAAACACTAAATTCTAGTTCATAGACCACAAATCCTAAACCCGAAACCCTAACCAACCCCGAAATATGAACATTCAACCCCAAACCCTAAACCCTAAACCCTAAACCCTAAACCCTAAACCCTAGAAATAGTATACCTTCTTCAGGATGAAATATATTACATTTAATAGCAATTTGTTTAGCTGTCTCTAAATTGTCTCCTGTTACCATTCGTACACGAATCCCTGCTGCTTGGCATGCACGGACTGCAGCAGGAACCTCCTCACGTACTGGATCCCTGCACAAACCCTAAACCCTAAACCCTAAACCCTAAACCCTAAACCCTAAACCCTAATCCATCTACCATGCACAACCGGAGTTAGGAGATCTACAATTGCATTGGGAGTTAATGGTTAACAAATAGACAGTTCTACCATACCACCCTAAACCCTAAACCCTAAACCCTAAACCCTAAACCCTCACAAACCCTCCAGAAACCCTAATAAGCCCAAATAAACGCTAATAAGCCCAAATAAACGCTAATAAACCCTAATATAAACCCTAATAATAAACCCTATTAGTCCGTACCTGATGCCTAATATAGCAAGACAGACAAGTTGTTGCTCAATAGAGTAATATTTATATTGATTAAGATTATAAGAAAGAAAAAGATTATTTTTTATTGTTTTTATATCCTTATATGCAATACAAATAGTACGTAAACATTCTCCTGCCATGAATTCAATTACTCTTTTCTCTATTTCTTCTCTTAATTTATTTGTTAAAGGAATTATACATAATTCATTACTGCTGCTGCTGCTGCTGCTGCTGCTGCTGCTGCTGCTGCTGCTGCGCGTTAGAGCCGCAGATAGAGCAGCAGGAACCACTAAATGAGAACAAAGACGTAACACTGTCTCTGCTGCTCCCTTTACGTATACCCTGTAGGTACCCACTTGTGTGTCCTCATCTGCTGCTGTTGTTGCTGCTGCTGCTGCTGCTGTTGTTGCTGCTGCTGGTGGTGGTGGTGGTGGAGGGGGTGTTGGTGTTAGTGCTGCTGCTGCTGCTGCTGTCTCAGCAGAAGAAAGAAGACGATTGCTGTTGCTTGCGGTGCTGCAGCGACGACTATCTGTGCTGCTGCAGCTGCTGCGTCTGCTGCTGCGTCTGCTGCTTCTTCTTTTATCTTTTGTTGCTGTATCCCCTCCTGTTTGTGGCAGCAGCAGCAACTGCTGCTGCTGCTGCTGCTGCTGCTGCTGCTGCAGAGAGATAACTGTTGTCATTATCTTACGGTCACTAGTAAATGGCTCCCTAAGGACAGGCTAATATAAATAAACAAAAAGGAGACAAAAAAGGAGACAAAAAAAAAGGAGACATAAAAGGAGACAAAAAAGGAGACAAAAAGAAAAAGGAGACATAAAAGGAGACAAAAAGAAAAAGGAGACAAAAAAGGAGACAAAAAGAAAAAGGAGACATAAAAGGAGACATAAAAGGAGACATAAAAGGAGACAAAAAAGGAGACAAAGAAAAAGGAGACAAAAAAGGAGACAAAAAAAAGGAGACATAAAAGGAGACAAAAAAGGAGACAAAAAGAAAAAGGAGACATAAAAGGAGACACAAAAAAGGAGACAAAAAGAAAAAGGAGACATAAAAGAAAAAGGAGACAAAAAAGGAGACAAAAAAGGAGACAAAAAGAAGGGAAGGAACTAATACACAACTTAATATGTTGCTGCCCTTCTACAACAAGACAAAAACAGCAACAACAACAGCAGCAGCAGCAACAGCAGCAGCAGCAGCAGCAGCAGCAGGAGCAGCAGGAGCTTACGTCTCCATAGAGGAGTAACTGCTGTCTCCTTATCTCCTCTATAGAGAATCCTAATAAGGAGACAAACTCTAATAAGGCACACTCAGTAGGACTGCCTACATGATGGGGTCCCTCCTCTGCTGCTGCTGCTGCTGCTGCTGCTGCTGTTCCTGCTGCTGCTGGTGGTGGTGTACTTGTTGTTACACCATCAGCAGCAGCAGCAGCAGCAGCAGATCTATAATTAATACAACAATAAGAAGAACGAGGTGTCTCCTTATAAGGAGACAATCCATCATAATTATCTGCGCATATATTTGCTGTACTATTTAGTACTACAGCTGTAGATAATAACTAAGAAAAAAAAAAAAGAAAAAAAAAAGAATAAATTTATTTATTTATTTATTTATTTATTTATTTATTTATTTATTTATTTATTTAATACTAATGGTGTAGATAATTATAAAAAAAGAGAGGGAGAGGGAAAAGGACAAAAGGAGACAAAAGGAGACACAAGAAGACAAAAAGAGACAAAAGGAGACAAAAGGAGACAAAAGGAGACAAAAAGAGGAAGAGAGAGAGAAGGAGAAAAGGAGACACACAGACAGCAGGAAAGGAGACAAAAAGAAGAGAAAAAAGAAGAAAAAAGGAGACAAAAAAGAAGAAGAAAAAAGGAGACAAAAAAAAGGAAGAAAAAAAGGAGACACTTACTGCTGCCCATTCTTTCTCTGTTAATCCATCAGTTACTGTTATGTCTTCTATTACTGTCTTGCTGCTTCCTGCTGCTGCTGCTGTTGCTGCTGTTGCTGCTGTTGCTGCTGCGTGTAGGGGTCCAGTGCAGCAGTGTAATGGTTGTGGTACTGCTCCTCCTCCTGCTGCTGCAGTTGCTGCAGCAGCAGCAGCAGCACGAGAGGGAGCAGCAACAGCAGCACGTTGTAGTACTGTATCCCAATTACTGTCTCCTTTATTTGCTGTTGCTGCTAATGCCTGCAGCAGGAACTGCTCCTCCTCCTGCTGCTGCATTTGCTGCTGCTGCTGCTGCATTTGCTGCTGTTGTGTCTCCTCTTCTGTTTGTCTTACCCCACAACTACCATCTGCTGCTCCCTCTTCTTCTTCCTGCTGCTGCTGCTGCTCCTCCTCCTCCTCCTCCTTTTCCTCCTCTTCCTTCTCCCTTTCCTCTATATTGTTTTTTTTTGTCTCTTTTTCTTCCTGTATATCTATATTTCTTTGTTCTTTTTTTTCCCTTTTTTCTTCCCTTTCTTCCCTTTCTTTCTCCTGTTTTTGCATAATATTAATGAATTCATGTATCCCTCCCTCCCCTCCTCCTCCTCCTCTCCCTCCTCCCCCTCCTCCTCCTCCTCCTCCCCTTCCCCCTG